TTATTATTATTATTATTATTATCATTATTATTATCATCATCATTATTATTATTATTAATAATATTAATAATATGATTATTCTTATTATTTTCATCATCATTATTATCATTATTATTGTTATTATTATTATTATTATTACCATCATCATTTACAATTCGTGCCTTGACAGGACGCATGTCACATTGTCATGGGTTTTGTTTTGTTTGTTTGTTTGTTTGTTTGTTTGTTTGTAGTTGTTTTTTCAATACAGAAAGTGGGAATATGCCACCATTCGCATCTTATTCTCTGCTTTCTAAAACAGCACGAATACCCGAGTTGTTTCCTTCTCTCAGAAACCAAGATAAATTAAAAGTTCGACGAAAAAAAAATACTAAGATGTCGTACAGAAAGAAAGCAAACAAGGATTAACAGTACAGATTCTCTCAGTACTGAAAGTCAAATCTGTACCCTATAGGTACGTCCCTATTGGGTGGTTGGTTGAAATTCTCTATGCGGCGTGCAACAGACATTTGTCAGGATGGTCTGACAAACTGGATCTTTAATGTTCTCCAGCATGGTGATTGTAAGACCCATTCTATTCCCAGCAAGTTGGCCTACATTTTAAACCAAATTATAATGGCCATCTTTTTTTTCCTTTCTAAAACTGTGCCGACTACTTTGACGTGTCTTGTGACCCCCCATCCCCTCCACGCCCACACACACACACACGCACATATCCCATTTACTGCATGCTTTCCCTTACTTTCTCTCAACAAACACACTATCAAACTAAAAAAAAAAGAACAAACCATCATACTTTTCTTATGATTCCGTCTATTCCAGCGGCCACAATGGAAGGGAAGACGAGATAGGGGTTAGCCTGAGGAGACGCCAGTCGGTATTCACACACGGGGTTGTCTTCCTTTCCTCTCAAACGGAGGCACTTGGTTTTGTCGTTCCACCCGTAGTTGAAATAACTTGGGCATGCTTCAAAACGTTTAAGCCTGGGTTATAACAGATTATGTTAAGTAATTGTAATCTTAATGATGATAGTTATGATGGCAACAATGATAACGACGACGACGACGACGACGACGACGACGATGACGACGACGTGACGATGATGATGATGATGATGATGATGATGATGATGATGATGATGATGATGATGATGATGATGATGATGGTGGTGGTGGTGGCAAAAGCATCTAAAATCACCTGAGTATTCGGAATTAAGTAAACAAAGAATTAAAAACCAGGGGATTGATTTGACCTCACCTCTGCTCCTCTTTATTTGCGGGCGTTATTCAAAAGGCTCAGAATTTTTGTCTAATGCAGATATGGTCTATTTGATTTTCAGTGAGTTCATCTAGTGTGCACGAAGTAAGTTTATAGATACCTTCGTGTATTCCAACAGCAACAAGGATATTCAGTTGACACATCTAAATTTACCTTTAATCGTAGTTACTTATTTTCCAACTCCATACTAGCCCATAGTATTTTCTTTTTCTTCATTTGTGTCCCCAACTTTTGCATTCACATTACCTATTACAAAAAGTATAAAATAATAGAAGCAACAGAATGTTATTTCTTAGGAGACTGCTAAGGATATCGTGGAAGGAAAAGAAATCAAATGCGATAGTGTTTGATGAAGCCCACGTGGGACGTTCAATGTTAAAAGCAATCAGGAAACGACAAATGCAGTTTTTGGGACACCTGAATAGATATAAGAGTCTTGAAAATCTAGCTCTCATTGGCAAAATGTAAGACAAACGAGGCCCAGAACAACCTACTTAGGGAGCCTAAACAAATGGGTAACGGGGAAAGATCAGGGAAATTTAGCTTTTTTAAAGAGCATCCGAGAAAAGGAATGAATGGAGAACCATGATGGACGGTGTCTGTCGCAGATCTGGCCCTGGATGATGATGATGATGATGATG